GCTAAATTTTATTATGTTTATTACACAGTGAAATAATAACCAGATAGTAGCTTACATCAGGCTAAATTTTGATATGTTTATTACTCAGTGAAATAATAACCAGACAGTAGCTTACTTCAGGCTAAATTTTATTATGTTTATCACACAGTGAAATAATAACCAGACAGTAGCATACTTCAGGCTGAATTGTTTTGAGTATTCTCATGATTTCTTGTTCAATTCTGAGTTCACTCACATTTGATTTTCAAATGTAGACAAGAAGCATAAGAATTAAGTAGAATTTATCTTCTAATGCTTTTAAATATATTATAAATGTATTTATATTCAAAGTTATTTCTAATGGAACATAGTGTATACAGAAAGGTCTTCTCATTGTTGTTGATGAATTGTTCTGAACATGATTCTACCCTTTCAATAAAAAACTTGAACGTTTTTTCTACCTTGAACCTTTATCAGCTCTCAACTATTTTATCAGTATTGTACTATGGTACGTCTTCTTTATTTTCGTGTATTATTTATTAATATACATTGCCTTTTGTAATATATAGGACGTTCAGTTATGCTGTTGGAACACAACTCCAACTTATACTATTATACTAATGGGTAATTGGGTCCCCAATAACATCGCAGTTCTCAAGAACGTAACCAGGACGTTAATGGGGGATCGACTGTTCAGCGAGTTAAGTTTGACGAATAAGAAAAGTTAGTGCCGAGTTTAGCTCATTGGACGAAGGGCCTGGCATGGCCAGGTGGTTAGGGAGCTCGACTTGCAATCTGCGGGTTGCAGGTTCGAATCCCCGTCACACCAAACATGCTTGCCTTTTCAGCCGTGGGGGTATTATAATGTGATGGTCAATCCCACTATTCGTTGGTAAAAGTGTAGCCCAAGAGTTGGCTGTGGGTGGTGGTGATGACTAGCTGCCTTCCCTCTAGTCTTACACTGCTAAATTAAGGACTGCTAGCTCAGATAGCCCTAGTGTAGCTTTGCACGAAATTCAAAGACAAACAAACAAAAAAGAAAAAAATGTATAACATTCATGCTTATTTATCAGAGAAATGTTACCTCCTCACTAAAGGAAGTAATGATACACTTTTTGTAGCAATCAAAAAGTATTCTAAAATTCTCGTCAGATATGAAGACATGTAAAATTGTTTTTTTTTTATCTTTTGTCGAAGCAAATTTCATGCATAATTGGAAAAACTTAATTAGATTTAGTATAACGTTGACTTAATGTTCTTTAACAAAATAAGGATTACTGAGCACAAAATGTAAAGATGTTGTTTCGTGAACTTCAGGTTATGACGAGGAAGGAGGATTTAGTGATCGCACCGTCTGGAATTACTTTAACGGAAGCAAATGAGATTTTACAACAAAGCAAAAAAGGTGTTATATTTTATGTTCTATAGTGTACATAAAAAGATGAGTTCTAAGTTTTAGGGTATATAAGATATCCTCTATTTAATATATCATGATAAAAATATATCAAATTACACTTTTTTCTGTCAAATTTTGATTGATATATGGAATGAGTTTAATCTTCAAACACAGGTACTTCATGAAATATTAAGTTGAAGTGTGTTCTTTAGCTACTTTTCTTAATTTGTAAAAGATTTAATTTCCTTTTCTCACTCACAAGCAGCTACGTACAATGAGAACAGTAAATGTTTATAAACAAGCCATTCTGCTGGATAAAGAATCAACTTTTGGAATGTACAAGATATACATTGATGTTCTCTTACCTGCCCACCCAATGTTGGGTGGATTACAAAATATTTCAGTTTTGTTTTGAGTTTTTATAGAGTCCTTTATACTACGATGTTTTTTCTTTATATGTGTGGCTGGGGATGGCCTAGTAGTTAGCGTGCCAGACTATAAATCTGTGGTTCTTGTTCTATCACCACAAAATCATGTTTCAAAGTTTTAGGTCTTGGGTGCATTATAAGAGTGTCAGTCAAATCCTGTTATTTAATTAGATGTTTCGGTATATATGGTACTGTTTGTCTAATAACTTGTGACTGTAATGGTAAACTCATTTAATTTCTTTTTTTATGTTTTTTTTTAATCCACAAACATAATCCTGTATGCATGCTCTTGTTGTTATACTACAAAAAAACCTTTATTATGTCTTCTTTTGGTATAAAGTTGTTTGCATATTGTTAAGATTGAGAGTTAGTAGTTTATTTTCTTAAAGTGTTTTGGAATTTAAGATTTCTGGTATTTGATGAAAAGTGACAAACTCTTTATTTTCTACTTTAGGAAAACTTCCCATTGTGAACGAGAGAGGAGAACTAGAGTCTATTATTGCTCGTACTGATTTGAAGAAGAGTCGTAGCTATCCATTAGCATCGAAAGATGCGAATAAGCAACTTCTGGTTGGAGCTGCCATTGGCACAAAAGATTCGGATAGAGATCGTTTAGATAAGTTAGTCCAAGCAGGAGTAGATGTCATAATTTTGGTATGTGTAAGTGAAAATTGTATATTTATGTGGTAAATTGTAACAGACTATATTGAAGTGTTTCAAATAACAAAAATTTCACTTTTACTAAGGATCAACCTGTAATTATCACTAACTTCTCTTCAAAGGTACCTACAGAAATAAGAACTAAAATTACATCAGTAATCAATTTTATGTACCATTCTTAATTATGATAATTAGACTATGTTGATTTATCAGTTGGATAACCATACTGTGGTATTTTTGACTGTGATCCTAATAATGTCTCATGACGTTTGGATTACTTAAATGCTGGTTCTAAATAAGTACATATAAAAAAACATTATATATATATGTATATGACAGATTAAAGTAATAAAAATCAATCAATCATATATCAAACATTTGGATTAATACTCCAAGTTTGAGCCAAAATAATCACACTGTTTGTAGTCAGCGTCATGTACAAACATTTGGAAATACATTTTATTACAGAAGAGATTGTAGACTCGTAAAGCACGAGGACATCTATATTCTTTCTAAAAGATTGTCATATCCAGTTTGTAGCTAAACGTTTGTTACACACACACACACTTATTGTATTACAATTAACTTTAGTATTCCATCTGCTAAATGGATCTCATTTCCATGGTTTCTATTTAAAAAAAAAACGTATAAAAACACTACACCAGAGAAGAAAAATATTTATAAAGAATCTGAATTATCTACTTTTTTACAAATTCATATTGTTTTTAATTTGAATTAGATTCAAGTGAAATGCTGGCAAAAATATTAAAATGATGCTTGGAAGGCAGGGATTGAAGTTTTTGGCTTGATATTAAGAATAAAATGAGTTTTTTCTAGAAACAAATTGTATTTTGCACTGGATTATAAAATTTAAATGTGTTTAATTTTCAATCATAAAAGACTAAGTTTTGCTTTATAATTTTCTTTTTCTATATGAATTTTGAAAAATTGAGGCTGATGCTTCGACACATACATCCGTCACCTGGTCACAAACTAAATGCCATTCTGA